CCTTCATCCCCCCTTCCTTCTCCCGCAGTCGGCCTCCAAGAAATGTCTTTGCATGGCTCTTATTCATTTTCTCTCTCTTTCTCTCTTTTTTCAACCCTGTAGGGTCCAGTTGGAGCTTCTGGAGCTAAAGGAGACATGGTAAGTTCAAGCTGGTCAAGTTTTAATATGACCCCCCCACTGATGTCCTGTCATAGTCTTCAACCAGCTCTTCAAAGGCCATGACAGAGAAATAATGACTTTTATTTAGATGGACCAACTGGTGTTATTTTGCTTCGTGTTAATCCTGAAAATGTTTTCTAAAATCATGAGATTAAAGAGATTCTTTTTAGTGGCCATGTTGTTTGAGATTAAAGTGAAACAATTCAGGTCTGGTGTTGTCACTTTAGGGTGTGGCAGGAAGCGACGGTTTGCCTGGAGAGAATGGAGAACCTGTAAGTATTTTAATAATTTCACATGCTTTGTCTGAATCCAAACACTTGCAGCATCATTACCCAGAGACTCATTACTTTGTTTGCAGTAATTAGCTGTGCACTTGCTTCAGGACTCACAGTGCTGACTAAGATCAGAAGGAGAGAACACATTAAAGCCCTTTTTAAAGTCCTTATGTTGACCTTTGTATTGATTTTAATATACTTTCACGTGTCTTTAAAGCGCTTCATTGTCTTGCACATGCTAATTTGACCCCTTTTATCCTCTGGAATTTTTTTTTTTTTTTTTGGTGAAGCAGCTTTTAGTTTTTATGCTGCAAGCTGCGAAAAGAGCCTGAATGAGGCTCAGGGAACAACTGAAAACTTTTAGCCCCCTTTGATTAACAAGGTGTATGTAATTATTAGTTAATGTGCTAACATGATGTTGGGGTTTTTTTTGCCTCGTATCATAATTTTTTAGAACTGCTATACCAAAAAAGTTTTACTGATTGACTTTGTGCTGCATACCATTCTGTAATGTCACAGTTTTCACACGTTTGTCTAAAATAATATACTTATTTTCAGGGTCCTTTTGGGCCAGTTGGACAAAAAGGAGAGGTGAGCCGCTTTTGTTTTTAATTGTTATTTTTGTAGCGTTTCATGCTTCTGCATGGACCTGCAATCTGCAAACCAAATTTCTAAATGCACTTCATGTCTGGTAGCACCAAACATAGATCAGATGTTGTGTGTGGGTGTAATTAGCATCCCAAGTTTTGTTTCAAACTCCTTCTGTGTCTGCTCCCCCCATTAAACATTAAAAACTGGTGCCTAGCTCTGAGCTGTTGCCCACTTGTCAGAGTCAGTGCACATGATTCAGCCTCACATTCCAGGTTTAATAGGATTAATTAGAGATAGGTATTGCTGCTTTAGCGTTGTTGGCCTGTTTGCTGCTATTGCCACAAGGGAAAGACGAGTCGCATTAAGCTGCAGCACAATTTATGTAATTAGAGACACAGCACTGATGAACCTCACTCTCATAGTCTCATTTACTGTTTGCTGTGCTTGTTGGAGTAATTATCAAGCAACAAGATGCCATATGAATCCACCCCCGCACTGTCTCAACAGACTCAGTTTGCTCCTCAGTTGGTGTTTAGTCAACGATCAAACCTTAAGGATGTTTTTGGCTCTGGTTTGGAAGAAATTGATTATATTTTGCAAAACATAATGAGCTAGTTGGCTGACAATTGTTGCTGATTATAGTCTGGGAAGCGTGGTGAGCTGGGACCTAAAGGCGTGGTAGGTCCTCAAGGAGAGCTCGGTGCAAGAGGGCCTCCAGGAAAACCAGGACTAATGGGCTTCCAAGGAGAACAGGGTCTGCCTGGAATCGCAGGAAAGACGGGTGTACCTGTAAGTGTGCTTTTTAAATCTGTGCAAAACGTTGTGTTGCTGAAGCATAATAATGTTTTCATATTACCTGCCTGAATGAGGTTACGCTTTAAAAATGTCATCTTGTGTTTCAGGGTAAATTGGCAAGCGAGCAGCACATCAGAGAGCTCTGTGGCTCAATGATCGATGGTGAGACATGTTCATCTTTACCTGTGGTTTACTCTATTGTTGAATAAAAGAAAAGCTGGCAATTAACTTCCTGGGGGGTTTTTTTTGTATCATGCAGATCAGATTGCACAGCTGGCTGCTAACCTGCGAAGACCGCTGGCACCGGGAATGGTGGGCCGCCCCGGCCCTGCTGGGTCTCCAGGAAAGCCAGGAGTCATTGGCTCTATTGGGCATCCAGGCGCCCGTGGACCACCAGGTTACAGAGGCCTGCCGGGAGAACTCGGAGATCCTGGTCCCAGAGGTAAGAAAAATGAATCAGTACAGACTTTTGACTGATTGACAGGAGCACAAAAATCAACTGATCGGTGCATCTTCAGTTGTAGAGTGACATGATTAAATTATTAACATCAGTGCTTAAGTAAAATACATAAATAAGTTCTTGTCAAAATCAAAATGCGCATTTTTGGCATAATTGCACTTGAAGCATCAAAGTAGAAATATTCATTCTACAGGAAATGGCCTCTGTGAGAGATGTCTTATTATATCTGATATCATTAGGTCAGTGTCAGGACCACAATTGGCGGGGGAAGAAAAATGTCCCACTACACACATTTATGTTCAATTTTTGGATTTCTCTTTGATTTTGTAAAGTACTGAATAATTCCAAGCTTATAATAGTCATTTTAATGAAACAATCTGGAAGAAATTTACCAGAAATCAGTCTTTAATAGAAAATGTTAATCTGAAAGTAACGACTAAGTAATGCTTATCAGATAAATGCAGTGTAATGGAAAGGACAATATTCACTTGTTGAATCTAGACTTGTAGAGTAGCATAAAATGGAAATGCATATGATTAGTGTGGGAATTCAAAACTGGACTTGGCACCAGGCTTAGATGCAAATAAATGCATTCTGACTGTTTACTAAAGTTTTGCACTTTCATGACAGGTGATGTCGGTGAGTCAGGTGATAAGGGATCCACTGGCAAAGCCATTGATGGGCCCACTGGAGACCAAGGATACCAAGGTATGTACATATAGTCTTTACTCAGTGCTGACATTTTGATTCATCAAAGCCGTATCAATAACATACATGCATGTCTTGTCATATTTGGGCTTGTGGTTAACATGTGGAAGATGTTTATTGTTTCTGATACTCAGTAGACCATTCAATCATTTCTCCAACTTCTAACTACAATACTGTCCCACAGGTCTTCCGGGAGTACCTGGAGTTGTCAAAGATGGTCGTGATGGGTCTCCAGGAGATCCAGGTGAGCCTGGAGAGTCAGGCAGGGTAGGTAGGACTGGGCACCAGGGACCACCTGGAATCTGTGACACATCAGCCTGCCAGGGAGCATCAGTCGCTGGGAAATCCTCCAACCCCAAAAACCATTAAACATAACCTGCTGCGACCTGACGCCATCCACTCCAAGGAGGAAGGGTGATAAGTGAGGAAGGAAGGAATAAAAGAAGAAAGTGATCACAAAAAGTCATCTTTATTTAAATCCAAGTATCACAAGATGGAAGAGTAACATCAGCAGGTGTGATATTTTGAGAGGAACACAGGAACATCCCAGGAGTGACAAGAACACCAGAGCAACTGAGAGACCAAAAAAATCAAGATGACATCCAGAAATAACGCGAACAGAAGCACAGAAAAGTGCGAGAGAACAACTGCATTGATCCAAGTACTATCGCATAACAAGACTTGACTTACAAACAACTGGAAAATGAATGATGAGTCCTTTGTGTATAAAAAAAAAAACTTTGTACATGTTGTTTCCATTCCCCAATTACTTTGGTTACCATCCTTGTGACAGAGAACACAGCAGAGGTGAATGTGCATTTATCATGGACCATTATGTAAATCACAGATGTTACCTCAACATACAAGCTAGCAGTGTAAAATATGGAAATAGGTGCTAGAGGCAAAGAGCCTCTGTCGAGGAGCTGTGTATGTACTGTAAAAGGAATAAAAAACAAATACCCAGGTGCCCAGAAATTGTGTAGATTAATGGAAAAAAAAACTTTTGATAGTCTTTTTTTACAGCTTGTTTTCTGTTTTGTTTTGTTTTTAATTACATGCAAAGTTGATTCTCAAGATTTGAGAATCAAAGCCAAAATAAACGTGTGGATGCATGAATCAGACATTGTAAAATACAGAAAGTTTAAGATCTTAGAAACAAAGTTTTTTTAAAAAAAAGTATTGTTTTCCAATCTGCAACTACCACATCCACTATGTACTACCGGTGCTGTAACTATTAAATATACATGACGTTAAATACTATTTATTATTTGTGGGTGACTGTTGTATGTACAGTAAGATGCTACAGCGACATGTTGTAAGAAAGAACAAATAAAGCCACTTTTCAGTAAAACATTACTCTTCTCTACATATCAAATGGACAATCTGCACTGTAGAGTAATATGCTCTAAACACTATGAAATCAAGTAACCCCTTTAATTCACAAAGTAGCAACACTTACTTCTATACCAAAAAGCTTAAATATATAAATAGAGAATAGATAGGTAGAAAGCTGCAGAACATTTTTAAATACACTTGAAAAAGAAATAATGAAAACATTCAATTAAAGTGCAAATTTGAATCAAGCTTATATAAGATGCAAGTATTAGTAAAATGGAAGAGCTGAAGAGCAGGAGTCTGCCCGTTAGAACACTATCTCATCTGTTTTGCAAAGGGAAACAGTGCCACCTGTGTGTCAAATGTCCCTCTTTTTAATTTTTTTTTCAATAAGTGGTTGGTATGTCTAGTAGAAGAATGTTGTGGCGATCCAAATTCACTGTGGTATTGAGATGCAACTGAAGCGAACCAACCACATCTGAGCATTGCGTGTTCTTGGACTGACAACGGACCACATCCTAAATCACTGTAATGCATTCAAGTCAGTTAAAATGTAACATCAATTAACTTGGCCATAGTCGTAGCTGGGCTTCATTGGAAAACCAAAGCTACTCTAAGGGTTAAATGAAAATGTACTCATATTTGTTGCAGACAGATTGGATAAAACAATGAGGACGTCACTGTTCGGCTGTAACAGACAGTGTCTTCTCCATGTTCTGGTGGATTGGGTCCTGACCTGAGGAAGATTTAAGAAAGACTCCTTTCTCGTGAGTGAAGACCTTCTGAAACTCCTGCAAAGGGAAGATTAGGAGGTTACTGTGGTTAACGACACACAGTACCAGCACTCTTTTATGTGTCTTTTAAGTCCGAGCCTATCTGGCCCTTTCCTGTACGCCAGGTGGTGGAGGCGGTGGTGTTGCACACTTGTCAGTGATTATATTTTTGCTGCCTTGTACTTTTCAGTATGAAAATCAATTTCCACAGACTTCATAACTGCAACAGATAGATAATCCATCACGGCAAAACAATAAAGTTTATTTGATTTTATATGGTAAAAGTAAGATGAATTTGATTTGCACTCTCTAAATAACAAAAGTCATATAAAGTCTGCTGCTGTACTAATTAGACAGGCGGCGAGAGGAAATGTAATTAAGCTCTTATCTTCCAGCCCCAGGTTTCTAGTCTCAAATAATTCAGTTGGAGGGTGATGCAGCCAAAATGCTTTACATTAATCAATGTTCTACACAAACTTGCCTCATTGAAGGTGTCGCCATACATCTTATTGATGTATCTCAGGAAGGCCGTGGTCCACTGCAGTGTGGTGGCTTTGTCTGTATCTGAGCTACAGAACGGTACAATCATGTTCAGCTCATCGCAGCACAAACGGATCTTCTTCCTGTGCGGCAGTGCAAGCAATGCAGATATTTTTTATTAACATTTAAGCTATATTCTTATACCCTGAAGTTTCATATACCCTGTCTTATAGAAGACATCACTATATTTGTTTGTTTTTTTTAAATTAAAATATATATCACAATGTCTGCATATTAAGCAACTACAAACTGGGATACAAACCAAGATGTTCAGAAATTTAGAAGCTTCAAATTTAAAAAGTCAGTAAACACTAAACAAGACATGTCCTGTGTTCTGGTTACACAACAGCGCTGCAGCTAAAGATTATTTTTCATTATGTCTCATAATTGTGCACCTGGGCAATCATTTGGATGATTTTTTTGATGTACGATGAAGATGTAATATGGAAATTGAGTTTACGTAAATGTCTCCCCATTCTTCTATGTGATGGAAAGTTCTTAAAAATAAAAAGTCCACCCTGATTGATGCAGCACAGACTTTTGCAACATCTGGACTAAACTATCAACTGTGCATTATGTACTTCGTAATGTGCAGCGAGTGAGTTTTGCAAACGGTCTGAAGTGATGGGTGATGGATGAGCACACTTGAAACTGTTAAACTAACAATATGCTACAATGCCGGGGTAAAAGAAAAGAAAACATCCGACTGTGATTAGAAAATGTCAGAAAACTACAATTTATAATGTATTCATGTCATCATGTTTCAAACTGTGGAGGATGCAGCGACACTTCCAGGTGTTAGTACTGGCTGCTCACCTGCGTTCCCTCTCCTTACTGTTGTGTCTCCCCCGGCGCTCACTGGGGGACATACAAGGTAGAGTTCTTTTCCTGGCGCCACCCCGTGGATCTCCGGATGAGAGTGTGCCAGCTCTAGCGGCCTTCAGTTGAGAGCTTTGAGCGTTGCAGTGATTCCTGAAGGCAGCAGGTGTAGCCACATTCCCTACGAAAAAAATGCAAGCATGTGAGACAAAGTTAGACACACACTTGCACATGCATTTGCAGCCCAGTATAGCAGGTAATAATTATATGACTACAGCTTTTATATAAGATTAGATTTAAAGTATTACTTTCAGTGTTCACCAACTTCTGTTCTTCTGCAGGGTTGCTGCTACTGGTATACTGAGCTGTTACAACAAGCCTCTCTGGGTGAAAATTCAATACAAAACTCTTCGGGATGATTGGACCCTGATGCTTGTTAGGTTCAACCATGTGGGCAACTACCTAAGATTAAAACAGAAAAAAACAAGGGTCAAGGTGTGAATTGTGTCCATCACTGAAGCTATATAAAAGTCCAAATGGAAACTTCTTGCACCATACCTGACCACATATGTTAGTGACAGAGTCAAAATCACTGCCTACATATGAGGTAGAAACCTTAAAAGAATCTGCTCTGTCAGTTCTCATCCACTTCTGCTTTTCAGGATGTATGACTGCCTCTGCGGACTGCTTAAGTACTGTCAAAAAACTGAAATACAATGGAAGAGATAGTGCTCACAGCATTACAAATATATATATATATAAGCATTATTTTCACTAAAATAGTAATACACTATCATAATGAAGCCTACTTGGTAAGAACTGCAGAGTGAATATCTTGTTGTCTTGGGGTGTCAGCACACATGGTGTTAAATCTTTTCTCCAAGCAAATTCTGGCAGCTGATCCAGTTCTGTTCTGTAAAGTTTTACTGCTGTTGGCAGGTACTTCACTCTTTCTTTCTTCACCTCTGATTCTGGCAAGCACAAAACCTGGGACATCTCCGTAAGGAGATGGAGTCTTTAGTCCTGGCAATACCAGACAGTGGCCATCACTGGAAGTAGACAGGTCAATCGCTTGAGTGGTTGTGAATTGAGAAATCACTGTGGATCCAGTGGCCTCTTTAACCACAACTGCAGCAGGGTTGGATCTGACTTCTAGACAATGTGGACGGCCAGCCTGGGCCTCCATGTCAGCTTGGAAAAGGTGCTGAAGGTGGGAATATTCAGCCTCTGCCATCTCTATCAGACCAAGCTCAGGGCCCAACATCTGCCCCTGCTCGTAGGTCAGACATCCACCTTGGTTTAAAATCAGCCCAACAGAGTCACAGACGTGTTCTCTGGATGAAGATGGCACATGAATGGTTTTAGAAGCTGAAGTAAAGGACATCTTTCTCTGTAGAAGAGGGGATGAAATCAAGACAAATGCCGTCTTACAGGGAACTTAATGTAACTACTTCAACTAATAATGCTCACACATTTGAACGTTGTTCAAGGTAGCCAAAACGAAACTGAACATGATCATTTTAGAACAAACAAAAAGCAAGGTCAGTAAATCGTTAAAACAAAAGTAAGTTGTAAGTAGGTAATTAAGTTTACAAGCTAGCGACAACAGCTAGCTTGTAAACTTGAGCTAAGCTAACGCGAGCTAGCACGCAGCGAAGACGTTAGCACAAGCTAACGGTCAATCTGGATTGTCTCCATCTTGAAACACGTCGAATAATTAAAAACGCATAAATATTTAACATTGTAAAAAATGAAGTCATTCATTATCTAAAGACTGAACTCTAAATAAGGTATTACTGAACTCTGTGTGTGCTTTTTTAGTGGGTGTTCAACTTACTTTAATGGCAGATTGTTGCTCCGTAGCTGCCGTTGCTGTCGTTACCTCAGACAGTGATGCGGTTACAGCGGCAGACAAAGAACAGTCCTCCTTTAGACGTTGTATAGAAAACTACACACAGTGTGGCACTACCAGAAAAGTTATTTCATTTAAGTCACTTATGGGGAGACAGGATAGCTGAATGAGGGTTTATTTTTTAATTTTTAATTTAATTAAATTTAA